GATGACTTCTCCTGAATCAGACCAATGGTCCAGCTAAGTCGGTACTGTCTACACCAGGGAGCCACATGCAGCTCTTTCACACATATTGTGTGGCTCCCGGCTGGGGAAGCGAAGGGGAGGCGTGCCTCTCCGATCGGTCTTCCCTTCGCCAGTCAGTGTTCCCCTCCCTGGGTAGGCTTGAGGTGAGGGGGAGCATAGAAAGAAAGCAACTTTAAAGTTAAATGCGTTCTCAAATCCCCCCCCCCCCTCGGCTTGGAGGACACTTTTAAAGTTATAGTTTTCCCTTTCTTGGGAGCCAGTTTGGTGTAGTGGTTAAGTGCGCGGACTCTAATTTCAGAGAACAGGGTTTGATTTCCCACGCCTCCACTTGCAGCTGCTGGATGACCTTGGGCAATCCCTAGTTCTGATAAGAGCTGTCCTTGAAAAAGAGCAGTTTCTGTCCAGAGCTCTCTCAGCCCCACCTACCTCACAGGGTGTCTGTTGTGGGGAGGGGAAGGGAAAGGAGTTTGTAAGCCGCTCTGAGACACCTTCAGGTAGTGAAGGGCGGGGTATAAATCCAATCTCCTCTTCTTCTTCTTCCTCCACTTGCACCTGGCTGGATGACCTTGGGCAAGCCATAACTATGGCACAGCTGTTCTTGAAAAAGAGCAGTTTCTGTCAAGAGCTCTCTCAGCCCCACCTACCTCACAGGGTGTCTGTTGTGGGGAGGGGAAGGGAGATTGTAAGCCGCTCTGAGACTCCTTTGGGTAGTGAAGGGCGGGGTATAAATCCAATCTGTTCTTCTTCTTCCTTTCCCCCATCTATTTGCTGTCTTTCCGCTTTCTTTCCAGTTTCTTTCTCCCCTCCCTCCCCATCTAAAGTTAAATGTGTTCTCCAAGCTCCACCACACTGGCAGATTGGCTTGGAAAAGGCATTTGTCTCTTTAATTTAATATGCAAATATTTTTCAATTAAAACGTGTGTGTTCTTGTCTTGTGGCTCTCAAAACATCTGAACTTTATTCCATGTGGCTCTTAACGTTAATCTACACAGACTGGCAATGGCTGTCTGGGGTCCCAGGTGGACGTCTTCCACGTCACCTCCTGCCTGGTCCTTTTGGTGTAGTGGTTAAGTGCGCGGACTTTAATCTGGGAGAACCCGGTTTGATTCCCCACTCCTCCACTTGCACCTGCTGATGTGACTTTGGGTCAGTCACAAGCTCTGGCACAGCTGTCCTTGAAAAAGAGCAGTTTCTGTCAGAGTTCACTCAGCCCCACCCACCTCACAGGGTGTCTGTTGTGGGGAGGGGAAGGGAAAGGAGTTTGTGAGCCGCTCTGAGACTCCAAGTGAAGGGCGGGGTATAAATCCAATCTCTTCTTCTTCTTTTAGCTGGAGACACTGGGGATTGAACCTGGGACCTTCTGCAGGCCAAGCAGGGGCTCCACCACTGAGCCAGGGCGATTCCCAAGGAAGTGGATTCATTCCCGTTGCATCTTCTTGGCCCTCGTTGAAGCCTGGGACGGGGGAACAAAGATGCACAATTCCCTAAAAAAGGTGTGTTTTGAGGTGGGATTAGAAGGAAGCGGGCGGGGTCCTCACACAGGTAAGCCGGGAAGCTACTCCAGGTATACGGGTCACTGAGAAACAGACACACACGGTCACGTGGGCATGGAGGGGTGGGGTCACAAATGAAGCCCTCTGTCATGGCAAGGTGCAAATGCACAGTGCTCAGGGCTGGAACTCCAAAATCAAATGGAACTATCAAGAGCAAGACCAGGGAATTTGACATAAGCTCCAGGGAGAAGACAGGCCAAAGAATCTTTGGACAGTATTGCCCCTGGGATTCCCACCCACCCCATTGTTCACTAGGCCTCCCTGCCCCAGTTCAGGACCTGTGCCTTCCCAGCAACACAAATTGGCTGGGGGTGGGGGGCATAGACATACTTGATGTACCCCAAAAAGCTATTATGGTGTCATGGTTAGGAGCACGAACTCTGGTCTGGGAGAACCGTGTTGGATTCCCCACTCCTCCTCCACTTGCAGCTGCTGTTGTGTCCTTGGGTCAGTCACAAGTTCTGTCAGAGCTGTTCTCGGCCCCGCCTACCTCAGAGGGTGTCTGTTGTGGGGAGGGGAAGAGAAAGGAGTTTGTAAGCAGCTCTGAGACTTCTTTGGGTAGTGAAGGGCGGGGTATCAATCCAATCTCTTCTCTTCTTCTTTCACCAACAGTCCTTGAAAGAGCTCTCTCAGCCCCACCGACCTCACAGGGTGTCTGTTGTGGGGAGGGGAAGGGAAAGGAGATTGTAAGCCACTCTGAGACTCCTACAGGGAGTGAAGGGCGGGGTATAAATCCATTCAAAAACCAGTGGGGGGATATTTTAACCTTCCAGGACATTCAGTTGTTGACCTAAGAGTAGCAGTTCTCTTACAAAGGAAATTCAAAGGGAGATTAGAGAGACTGCTGAATGGCAATTGATAATGAAACTCAAGACAATGCATTCTCCAGGACTGAACTGGGACCTAGGTTTCCTGTCTCATTACTAATGCCTGCTATTGTCATTTGGCATCTGAAATCAATCTACTCTCCAAGTTATAAGGACCAACGGACTCTCATTCTAGCTGTATCTGAAGAAGTGAGCAGTGACTCACAAAAGGTCGTACCCTGCCGCACATTTTGTTAGGTGCTACTGGACTCTTGCTCCCTTCCACTAATAAAGATTGCAAGCTGTGCTGTTAGGTTTCTTTCACTATTATTTTCTTTTCATCTGTTAGAAGTGGAAAGGGGGATCTCTCCAAGTGAAATAATACGTTGCTTTCAGACTGGACAAAATTCACTCACTCCTAGTGATGATGATAAAAAGTTTAAAAAGCAAGGGGGGTGGGGTTAATGTGAAGAAAGCCAGCCAGTGAGGTGGGAGGGGCGACCATGTGTTGAACTGGAATATATGGAACAATGAATGTATTTTTAAATACTTAGCCATCTACTTCCAGTCATTAGACCATGGAATCCAATCCAAGAGTTGCAATTCCTAACAGGGGCTTTTTGAAAGAAAATCCCAGATAGGCATAGAAAAATCTAATCTAATCTATTATATGGCAAAAGAGAAGATACTTTCGAGAAAACATGGCCAAGATTCTACAAATGGATCGAGAATTATCTTAAATGAATTATACTATAACCACCAGAAAACAAAAATAGAAATATAAACTGTAGTTATTATATGTGCATACATAAAGTAATAGAATAGGTGCAAAAAGAAATGATTGCCGTATAAAAATAAAAGTTTAAGCGTAACTAATGGAAAGTACTCCACATTAATGTTTTTTTTGTGTGAGTTCTTGTTGATGTTTGTGTTGAAGAATAATAAAATTATATATAAAAAAGAAAATTCTAATCTTTTTTAAAAAAGAAAACCCTTTCAGAATAAGCCAAAATAATTTCCCCTTAATTCCCCTTATCTCAGATGAATCTCTTTCCTGACCCCCTTCCTTTTTTAACATGAGTGTGTGTGTGAGACCAGGTCTCAAAGTGAACAGCAGAGGAGGGCTTGTCATTTTTTTCTTTCCCTTCCGCTCTCTAAAGAAGCATGCCTGCACAGGAAAGTTTCTACCTGGAATAAAACTTTGCTGGTCCTGAAGGTGCCATGGGACTCACTCTCCAAACGAGGGAAGAGAGGTTTGGCAACGCAGACGCAGCCCCAGAGGAGGAAGCAGGAGAGAGCGGAGGGAGCTTTTCTCTGGTGCATGGACATGCGCGCTCTTTCCCCTTCCTTCTGGCTTCCTCCATAAAGGAAGAAGAGAGGTTTGGCAACGCAGCAGCAGCCCCAGAGGAGGAAGCAGGAGATAGCAGAGGGAGCTTTATCTGGTGTGCACACGTGCACTCTCTTTTTCCTTCCCCCTTTGCAGCAGCAGTAGTGGACAGGAGAAGGAAGCAGTTGCTCGCGGGCTGGATCCCAGCCCTGCAGGGGCTGGATCTGGCCCACGGGCCGCATGTTTGGCACCCCAAATCTAACCCCTCTGTGAGCGCCCCCCAAAACTCCACACACATCCAACACTGCTTTCAGAATTTGGCTTTTATTTACACTGGCATTGACAGATCAAATTAATACTTGTTACAACACACAAAGAACCTGTGGATGTCTGCCATTTGAACTGAACAAATGAAGTCACTTTGAAATCTAGGACTCTTGCCTTGAAGTCCATTACACCCCCCCCAAGAGGGTTTTTTTCCAAACACACCCCTCCCCCGTCTTATTAATGCAGACACTCGCGTTAACAGGATCACGAGCATTTTGCAAGTCAGTGTACAGACAGCCTTTCCCATTTTAAAAAAAATTAAAAAATTAAAAAAAAATACAAAACAAAACTGTGGTTCTGGAAGACCCGATATCCCAAGGAGAGACAATAATAATAAAAAAGAGCTCAATAATGATTGTTGCAGGAAGATATCCAAAAACAAATCACACACGCAAAACAATTATTTACTTACAAACTTTACAAGGTAAAAGCATTTCTCATTTCAGTTGCAGACATACATGGAAAGACACGGCCCGTGGGAGAGCAGTGTCTCTTTGGGAGTAAACGTTGGGTCGGGGAGGGGAAGTTGGGAGTTGCTGGTTTTGTCTCAGATTGCCACGTGACCACGTGCCAATGAGAAACAGACTCGATGTGCAGGGCTGAGCTGGCAGATGAAGCAGAAAAAATGTATATACACACATAGAGACCTGGTTGTTTGTGTAGATAATTCACTGATACCCTCATGTGAGTAGACGTATGCAGAAAGATAATTTGTGAAATGCCAGCAGAGAGAGATTACAGCCATGGCAGGGTCTCCCACGTGAGTGAAAACCAACATGGGTGCCGGCAACATTTAGGTGCCCCGCCGCTGCAGGGCTCTTTTTGTAGCAGGTACTCCTTTGCATATTAAGCGACACACCCCTAATGTAGCCAATCCTCCAAGAGCTTACAGTAGCTCCTGTAAGAAGAGCTCTGTAAGCTCTTGGAGGATTGGCTACATTAGGGGTGTGTGGCCTAATATGCAAAGGAGTTCCTGCTACAAAAAGAGTCCTGCGTGTTGAGACTGATTCACTCAGGAAGTATCCTACGTAACGTCAAACCGAGTGGAGTTCTTGGTCACCTTTGGAGGGCAGACGCAGCAAATGTGCTTCCTTACAAACTACCTCCTGGGGCAGCGCTTCCTAAGAAGAACTATATTTTTTTTGTTCCCCATCAGGGCTGAAGTGGGGCAAACACTGAACCCTCCATCTTTCGGGCAGGGGGGGCTTCCCCGCACCCTCACTGATTCAGGAAAAAAGAGAACTCAAAATGAAAACCAACATCCCATTAAAAAAAATGGATATAAAATCTCGGGGATTTGTATTCCAGGCCGACACGTCTGGGGAGAAACGTAAAGCGTGGTCCACTCAGCGTCGAGCATCTGGCACAGTGCCGTGGCACCTGACGGGCAAAGGGGCAGCTACGTCACGCGGACCTGGCAGGGACAAAGACATCAACCACTCTCCTACAAAAAAGGCACACTGCCCAATCCTGTAACACCCCGGTGAATCTCTCCCACCCCATGGGCAGAAGCTGCGCCAACAATGCTTAATTGGTTTCATTTCCCCCACGGTAATTCCTTAAGCGGTCTCATCAGTAGATCAGCAGACTCGCCTAAAAGTCCAGGGACTGCATCCTGGGAAAACTTAGGCAGCCAAACAAAAAACGAGGCAGTGTGTAGTTGGGGTCACTTTGGCTTTAAGCGCCACTGCATTACAACCAGGTGCATGCATGCTCATGTTACTCAAAACTGCCCCCTCGATACCTGGATGCCGATGCTAGGCCATCGAGGGGTGTCGCTAGACTATTCCGCTGCACGAGGACACCAAGGAAGACAACAGACTGGATGCCAGGAGATGCCCACATACCCTGGAATGTGCCCTGAGGCTTTACGTCAGGCATGCCCGTTCTGGCTGTTGCCATCTCTGGTGCAGGGGTGTCACAGGGCAGGTGAAGGTGCCCCCCCCCCTGCTTTGCCCACAGGGGGGCTGTTTCAACGTGGTGCCCCAAACCATTTTACCAGAAAGGCACTAAGAGCATGGCACACAGCTGCCGAATTAACCATAGAGCAGTATCGTTCCTCTGCCCATGTGGCAAAATGTTTCACGCTCAACTCTGCAACAGTCTAAACATAACGACAGCCACGGCCCGGGGGCCTGGCTTTAACATCCGCAACCCGGGAAACGTACATTCAGAAAGGGATCCAAAGCAAACGTTTTGTTTTTTTACAACAGACGTTTGGCCCAGCCGCGAGGACGGGCCGTGCAGAGGGGCGTCGCGTACGCCGCAGGCAAGCCGCCTTGTGCTGAACGCGGGCACGTGTGGAGGTGCGTGTCGGACCAGCGGGAGCACGAGAACTAAGTGCCATGATTTCCAAAGCTGTCTCGAAGGCTGCCCCTCGCCCCTCCTTTCTCAGGTGCTGAAGAATAAGAACTCCCCTGCCAAGACTGGCATAAAAAGCTACCCCCCCTCCCCACTAACAAAAGCGACGGCTGGCGGGAAACGCAATTTCGGAGGCAAAGGAGACCCCGGGTGGGCCCACGGCTGCGGGGACAGCGAAGCTCTGGCCAGCGAGAAGAAACTTCCCTTCTTCTCCCCCCCCCCCACTGAAGGGCAACTAACACCAAGCGCAGCCAAGAGGTCCATGGGTATGGACGAGGGGCGGGGTGGGGGGTCCTGGGCAGCCCCCCCTTCACTCTCCTTCCTCCTTGATCTGCTGCTGCTTGTTGCGCCGGGTGTCCAGGTCGAAGTTGAAGTCGCTCCACTCGTCGCGGGGCGGGAAGGAGATGGTCTGGCGGAGGGTGAAGCGCACGGCATCGATGACACGCTCTCCGCGGGTCTCGTTAGAGCCCACGCTGACGGTGGAGGCACCGCTGGGCGTGCGCAGGAGGTGGGGCGGGGAGGAGAAGTCGTGGAGCTGCCGGTGGTCCAGGAGGCCCTTCCAGATGGCGTGGCGGAACTGCTCCGGGATCTTGAGGCTCACCAGATCCTAGGAGGTTAACGGGAGGACGGGTCAGTCCGGAAAAACGACAGGCGGCCGGAGAGTCAACGATTGTTCCGGACAGCGTTTGTCCGCTCCGGGTTAGGAGACTCCTGGAGAGTCTGGGGGCGGAGCCTGGGGAGGGGAGGGGTTTGAGGAGGGGAGGGGCCCCAGCTGGGTATAATGCCACAGAATCCACCCTCCAAAGGAATCGCTCACGGATTTCTGATAATTTCTTGGGTAGGGGGTGTGTGGGGAGGGGTGTGTGTGTCACAGCGGACTTATCCCTTTGCCTCGAGAAGCCTAGTCTTGCTTGGCAACAATCCGCTTAGGAAGAAAAAGGACCCCCCCCAAAAGCCAGGCTCAGTAAGAAAACGCAGAGATCCCAAACCCAACAGGCTCACGGGGTCCCCCCAGGTTCAGCCCCAAACCGCAGCCCCCAGGCAAAGGCGCAGCGAAGCAGGCAGTCGGGAAGTGGAGAGTGCAGAGGGGAAAGGGGGTGGGGAGGGACCCCGGAAGATTACGGGGGAGCCCCCTCTGATCTCGTGGCAGCATCTGCAGCCCCTTCAAGGCACCAAGCTGGCAGCCCAAAGAAACGGTGGGGCCCAAAGGCGAAAG